GTAAGTCCTTATATATTTAGCATTAACTTTGATTTGTAAATTATTTAGTTTTTTTTTTGTCGTTTAGAATCGATTTGATTTATTCATTCGTGTTTGTGTATGTAATTATCTCTCTTCAGTCGATTACTATTCGTTATCTATTATTCACTGTTACTTTGTCTTTATCGAAACTATAAGAAATCCGTTTGATGTTGATCTATACTATTTTTCTTCTCTTCTTGTTTCGTTTTTGCGGTGTCTATATTTCGCGGTTTGCTTTTCAACGCATATTTTCATTCTTTTCTTTTCTTTTTCTACCCATTTCATACCATTTTTCTAAATGATTTCACAGTTCATTTATATCTCTTATTTGTTACAATAAATGGAGTTTCAAATTAGCCATTTATCTGACTGCCTAAAATATCTATCTGCTGTTTTGTTTTATTCCGTTTTTTTTTTGTTTTTTTTTTTTTTGTTTTTCAAATATTCTTTGTTTTGTAAACTGTATAAAATTCTATGACTTTGTTTTCATTTCTCGTTTCTCCCATTCCTTCTATTTACTCTTTGTTCCTGTTTACTTTTTCGTTTTCTAATTTCCGCGCTTCTTTTGTTTCGTTTTCATTTACCATTTTTGTTTTTAACTTCTTACTCTGTTTCATCCACCTTTTTTGCCTTTAGTTTATTTGTTCGCTTATTTTTGTCTTTTATCTTTATTTCTAATTACCATATGCGTACGGGATAAATAAGATAAATATCACTAATGAAGGTATCTGTGATGGCAACACTGAGAACGAGGGAGAGAGGGGAGACGAAAACAAAAGTGAAATTATAAACAACAAGGAAACAATGATAACAAAAGAGAGAGAGAAGAAAAAAAAAACAGAAGAGGGGAAAGAAGGGAAATAAAGAGAAATGACAATGGCCAAAAAGTCGTTGATAACTAAGGAAAAGAGAGAATATGATGTACAGGGAGACGAGGAAGGCGTCAGTAAAGGGGAGACAAAGAAGAGGATGAACATATACAATGCCAAGTAAAAAAGAAATAAATGAGATTTCAGCGAAACGGCGAAAAAAAAAAATGTGTCAGCAAGTAATTATTTTTATATGATTATAAGTAATTTGATATTAATTAACATAATAATTATTATTTAATTATCGTTATTATCATTATTGTTATTGTTACTATTATTATTATTGTTGCTGTTATCGTTATAATTATAATTATTATTGTTATTATTATCATTACTATCATCACTGTTATCATGTTATTATCATTTATAGCATTAGTAGAAGTAGTAGTAGTAGTAATGGTATTGTTATTATCCTTATCATTACCTATTTTAACAATACCATTCGAATATAAGACCTCATTAATCAGGACAGAGTTTCCATAAATACCCAATTTCGGCAGATCATGAGGTGTCTAAAAAAATAACAATCAGAACCAAGAAGATGAATATTTCATTTCAAAACAGACGAGTTAAGGGTTGATTTTGCTTTTAAGAAATACGACAAAAGATTTGACGAGTCGAAACGTGAAATCGGTGTCCCTTTGGTTATAAGATCCATTCCTTTGTTCATTTGATTTAATAAATAAACCAAAAAAAGGATTAGACTGATAGACATGTACACAATAAATACATAGTAAGTAACCCATAAAAAGACAAGTAAATAGATAGATCAACAGATATATAAATAAAAAGATAAATAGATGGACAGATGCATAAATAAGTAAGTGCATAGACAGATAAATGAATAAACGTATAAGATAAATAGCTAAAGAAAATGAACAACTTCACAACGAGAAAAAATGTTCAACAGATTATTTGAATAACGATGACCATTAAACCGAGTTATAAATGTGAATGATTTTAGCAGTGATTATAATTATTATGCAACGACAACAACTAACCAACAATAATGGTGATAATGATTATAGTAATAATGAAAATAAGAATAAGAATAAGAAGGAGGTGGAGGAGGAGAAATAGAAGAAGAAGCAGGAGGAGGAGAAGAAGAAGAAATAGAAGACGCAAAAAGGAAGAAAGAACAAAAGAAAAAAAAAAAGAAAACAAAACAACGAAACGAGAGAGAAAAAAAATACAAACAAACGAAGATATAGAAGGAAGGACCTAAAAGAAGAAAGGGTAAAGCAGTATAGGAAAGATAGATGATAACTTTTACGCTTTTCCCTTTGCCAGCCAGCCTCGTTATTAGCTATCTGTGGCCCTGAGGGAGCGACTGGCCAGAAATTGTTGGATAAGTTCTGGGAGGCGGTATGAGGGGGGGAGGGGGAGTGTTGCTTTGTGTTTCTTTTGCCTTTGGATGATTGTTTATGGGTCTGTGAGTCTCTTTGGTTGTCTGAGAGTCTCTGTGATTGTCTGCGAGTCTATGTGACTGTCTGCTAGTCTCTGTGATTGTCTGCGAGTTTTTGTGATTGTCTGCGAGTCTCTGTAATTGTCTGCGAGTTTTCATGATTGTCTGTGAGTTTTTGTGATTGTCTGCTAGTCTCTGTGATTGTCTGCGAATTACTGTGATTGTCTGCTTGTCTCTGTGATTGTTTGCGAGTTTCTCTGATTGTGTTTTGGTGCGTGTGTCTATAATTATCTTTCTCTCCTTTTCTCTTTCTGGAGAAAGAAACTAAAGGAGTAAGAGAGGGAGCGAGAGAGAGAGAGAGAGAGAGAGTAGAGAAAGAGAGAGAGAGAGAGAGATAGAGAGAGAGAGAGAGAGAGAGAGAGAGAGAGAGAGAGAGAGAGAGAGAGAGAGAGAGAGAGAGAGAGAGAGAGAGAGAGAGAGAGAGAGAGAGAGAGAGAGAGAGAGAGAGAGGGGTAGAGAAAATAAGAGAGAGAATGGGGGGGTAGAGAAAATAAGAGAGAGAAAGAGAGAGAGAGAGAGAGAGAGAGAGAGAGAGAGAGAGAGAGAGAGAGAGAGAGAGAGAGAGAGAGGTGGAGGGGAGAAAGAAGGGGGTGGTGTAAAGGATAAAAGAATGAAAGCGGAGTGAGTGAAGAAGGACAACATAGACAGGAAGAAGATAAAGGAAATGGAAGAAAGAAGAGAAAAATAAATTAAAGAAAGAGAAAGAAAGGAAGGAAAGGAAAAATTAGAAAGGGAGATAAAAAAAAACAATAAAAAAGAGGAAAAGTAGAAGGGCAAATGATAGTAATGATAATAACAATAACAAGAACCAGGAGGAGGATGAAACGAAGAAGAAGAAAAAGAAAAAGAAAAAGAAAAAGAAGAAGAAGAAGCAGAAGAAGAAGAAGAAGAAGCAGGAGAAGAAGGCGAAGTAGGAAAAGGAGTAGGAGGAAATAAAGAGGAAGAAGAGAAGAGGGTGAAGGGGGGTGGGGGTAATGTAAGAAGTAATTAGCCAGCTTGTATCCGTTACAAGACCTCCCTGAGCCTGTCATGCCGTAAAACCTTCGAAGAAAAGGGAAGCGGGATATAATGACGATAAACACGAAAATAGATAAACGCGGATAAATAAATAAAGGGTAAAAAAATCAAAAAAAGAAAAAGAATATATATATATACTCAAATCATCAAGTTTTAAAAGGTTCTCTCGCGTGAACAAGACAAGATGCTATGCTGAGGGCGATGCCAGGAAGGAAAAGTGTTTGGATGCTTAAAAGTGTCGAGATGAGAGAGGCTGAGGGGCTTGTTGTAAAGATAATAAGTCTCTTGTTACTTTTTTTCTCTCTCTTCCTCTTTTTCTTTTTCTTCTTCTTCTTCTTCTTCTTCCTTCTCTCTCCTGTTCTGTTCTCTTTTTTTATGTCTATTGTGTGTTTTGTATTTTTGTCTTCTTTCTCTCTTCCTTATTCTGTCCTCTTCTTTCTTCTCTTCTCTTTCATTTCATTTCTTTCTTCTCCTCTCCTCTCTTCTCTTTTTCTTCCCTCTTCTCTTTCTCTTACTTTCCGTTCCCCTCTTCCTTCTTCTACATCTTTTCAATCTTCTCCTCGTCCTCTTTCTTCTATATTCCCTTCTTCTTATTTCTTTCCCACCCTTCTCTCCTTTATTATACCTTCCTTTTCTCATAATCTTCTATCTCCTCCTCTTCTTCCATGTCATCTATCTCTTCTATCTTCTCCTTCACTCTTTCGTGTTTCTCCTTCTCTTCTGTTTTCCCCTTCTTTTTTTTCCTCTTTTCTTCTATCTTTCTTTCTCTTTCCTCCTCTCCACCTCATGCCCTGTCTTCCTCTCTTTCCATATTTTTCTTCTCTTCCTTCGTCTCCTCCTTTTTTCTTCTTCTTCTCTTCCTTCGTCTCCTTTTTTCTTCTTCTTCTCCCCTTATCTCCACTTTTCCCTTCTCTTCCATTTTTCTCGTTCACTACTTTTCGGCTTTTTCCCCGTCTTATTTATCCGTCATCTCTTCCGTCATCCCTATCTCTATCCTCTTCACTTTATATTGTCTTCTTCCTTTTCATCCACCTCCTCCTCTTCACTTCCCCTTTCTTCCCTCCTCCTCCTCCTCTTCCCTCCTCCTCCCTTCTTCCTCTACCTCCTCCTCTCTTCCCTTTCCCCTCTTCCCTTCCCCTCCCTTCTTCCTCTACCTCCTCCTCTCTTCCATTTCCCCTCTTCCCTTCCCCTCCCTTCTTCCTCTATCTCATCCTCTTCTCCATTTCCCCTCTTCCTCTTCTTCCTCCCTTCTTCCTCTACCTCCTCCTCTCTTCCCTTTCCCCTCTTCCCTTCCCCTCCCTTTTTCCTCTACCTCCTCCTCTTCTCCATTTCCCCTCTTCCTCTTCTTCCTCCCTTCTTCCTCTACCTCCTCCTCTTCTCCCCTTCCCCTCTTCCCTTCCCCTCCCTTCTTCCTCTAGCTCCTCCTCTCTTCCCTTCCCCTCCCTTCTTCCTCTAGCTCCTCCTCTCTTCCCTTCCCCTCCCTTCTTCCTCCATCTCTTCATCTGCTACATGCGCACTGCTCCCCTCCCCCTCCCCTTTTCTCCCCTTCCCCCCCCCCTCCCACCCACTCGGCCGCTGTTCATCGGAGTCTTTCCACGGCGTTCATTCAAAAGATCTCACCGATGACG